AAAACTAAACTTTACCTTATTTCTAATTGATATTAACTTCTGTTACAACAAACAATATTTATATATATATATTTATACATATGCATATATATTTATAAATGTATTTATATACATATATAATTATATATATATATTTATACATATTTATATACATTTTAAATATAGAAAATGTGTATTGCATTAATAGATGTTATAAGGAATATAGTGATTGGTCAGATAGTTCTGAAGAAGCTAAAATTATTTTGCATCATTTAATTAATATAACAAATAAAACAATCTGGAGATTAAAAGTATTTAACTTCCAGAAATAAAAACATCACATGTTCTCCAGCTGATTATTTATAAAGAGCACACAAACAATAAACTTACAGCAAAAATCTTTTTCAGTCTTCTGATGAAATCTTTGTACAAACACTTTACTTCATCTGAACGTTTCTGACTCCAGATCAGAATCACCTGAACGAGTCTTCAGAAGTCAGACTTCATGATAAAAAGCTTCAGTTTCCTTCTGATGAACTCGGATCACATGATACCAAAACACCTGAAACATAGAAATGTGCTAAAAGACATTTGTACTTTTAATAAACATGATGAAATGTGTAAATAACACAACTTGGCATCTTATTAAGAGATTAATATTCATTCATTTTATGTTCGTTCCTCCTTTGAACCGTCTGTGTATTATTAGAAATGCTTAAATGTGTTCCAGAGAACGATGATGATCATTTTTATGTTTTTCTATCATGTGATCTTTAACACTTTAAGTTTTTATTCCTTCACGTGAACCATCGTTAAATATCTTCAGTCTGTGGTTCATGTCTCATGCTTTAAACCCTGATGAGTGAGACAGTCCACCTGTCGTCCTTCACACTGAGATAATTTTGATTTAAACTCATCAGAATGATTAAACTCCTTTTTTTAAATCTATAATGAAATGTTTGTAAAAAATCTGCAGATGTATAAACGTCCACACGCTGTTCTCCAACATGTGGACTGAGATGAACCGTCATCAGTAAACACTGTGACCAAAGTTCAATAAAGACAGCTTTTTGGTTAAAGGGTAAAACTCTCCAGTCAGTGTTGATGGTAAATGTAGTTCATGGAGGCAGTCCTCAGTGCTGCTGTCATGTGACTAAAGGCGAGATAGAGGAAGAAGAACTACAGACTGTTTCAGATTGTAGTCCTCCACACAGCCAGAGGGCGCTGTGCTCTACATGGAGCTCACAAACACAACTACTGCGTTCTCTTTGCTTGTATTGCTAACAGTGATGATGGCATCCCATAATATGAGGTCAGAGGACGCTCTGGACGAGGACGCTCTGGATGAGGACATCTATAGTGTTCAGCTGTATTTATTGGATCCATAGAGGCAGCACAGACACTGCGGCTGCATTAGTGTCGAGGATATGACCTTCAGAAGCTCGCGTGCAATGCATCCTGGTACATGTAGGCACAGCCGGCTCTGCAGCAGGAGGATTCAGCACTCTGGGTCAAAACAGCGGGTCTGAGGAAGTTTTTTCTTAAATAAACTACATTCACTGTCAACACTGACTGGACGTCCATCTTTAACATCTTCACCTTATCTCAATAAAACCTTCCTCAAACAAGCTGATTGGTTAAAACCAACCAATCAATAAGACAAATATATGATCAGGTTCTATACAAGTATAAAAGAAACAGCCATGCTAACATGCTAACAGGCAGCAGTGATGTCATGTTTCAGTCAGACAGCAAACATCTTCCTGTTTTTTTTTAAAAACACCACCAATCTACGACTCAACAGTATACCCCCCCCCCCTTCCTGAAACAAACTAAACTTTCTGAGATTCTTTAAAAAATGTTTCACTCTGGAAAGATTTCTGTAAACTTATAAATTCTGGCTTGACGTTGTTGTTCCTAAATTGAATTATTTTCTCTTTTTTTTGCTTTCACAAATGACAGAAACACAGATTTTAGTCTCTCGGACTATTTGATAGTAAAATTCTACATAATGTTTCTAATGTTAAACTACGTTTAGCTTTAAATTACCATATAAATACAGTTTACACTGTTTGATTCCCACAAGAAGAAACATTATAATCCAGCTGAACACAGCAGGTTGTGACTCAAGTTGTTGATATCCAAAGGCATTCTGGGTAGTGTAGTGTGGTGACCATTAATGTGTCGCATCTTTGAGTCCTATGACACTGTATAAATCCCGCCCTCCCAATAAGAAAGCCCCGCCCACTCCAACGTGTCTGGGCGGGGCTACAGCTGACGATGATGTAAACAGGTCACATGGTTATACTTCCTGTTTCTAAACCTAACAGCAACATTCAGAAAATACTTCAGGACACTTCTGTGAAACAGGAAATGACATCATCTCCAGCTTTCACAATAAAAGTCTGACAGCAACGAGTGATCACGGTGACATCAGCGGGTCCCTGACCCCCATCAGCTGAGATGTTAACTGGGATCGGCTCCACACTCGCTCTCCTCTGGGATGTCCTGCAGGTCTGAGGGGTCAGAGGTCACAGGTTACCATCAACATAACGTGTAATAACAACCGATAACAGTTATTGACGCACAATAACGATCGATCGTTAACAGTTCGATCGATAACAGTTATTGACGTGTAATAACGATCAATAACAGGTATGGATGAGTCCTACTGACCCCTGGGGCTGTCAGAGCGAGGAGAGATTCTCATCACTTCCTCCTCCTTTCCTTCCTCGACGCCGTCTAATTGGTCAACGGGATCCTGGCTGGCCAATGGTGCGAGGGGGCGTGGCTCCAGCTCCCTGCTGCCCCGCCTCCTGCTCCCCTGCTGACACAAACACCGTAGCTTAGCTTAGTTTAGCTTGGTTTTGTTAAGCCACAAGGCCATGAGCTGGTTCCTAAACCCTGAACCGTGACGGTGGTCCTGAATCTGAGGATTGGTTTCACTAAAGCAGAGTTAAGACATTCAGAATAACAGAAAACATTTAAACGTTGGTCCAGTCTGAGGAGGTTCAGACTAGATTAAACAAGCTGGACGTCATCCAGATAGAAGAGCATTACTTTATCCTGGTTTACTTTATCATGGTTTACTGTATCCTGGTTTACTTTATCCTGGTTTACTGTATCCTGGTTTACTTTATCATGGTTTACTGTATCCTGGTTTATTTATCATGGTTTATTTATCCTGGTTTACTTTATCCTGGTTTACTTTATCCTGGTTTGCTTTATCATGGTTTACTGTAGGACATGACAGGCAAGTCTTCCATCTCCACATCTCTTGCTCATCATGGTTTACTGTATCATGGTTTACTGTATCCTGGTTTATTTATCATGGTTTATTTATCATGGTTTATTTATCCTGGTTTCCTTTACCCTGGTTTACTTTATCCTGGTTTACTGTATCCTGGTTTACTGTATCC